GGGTGAGGAGAGAAGGAAGGCTGGGGAGGAGGAGGAGGAGGAAGCAGCAGAAGTCTCTCCTACGTCCTTCTCCGCATCCCAGGTCCCAGCTGCATTGGGCCGCGCTGGGAATGACTAAAAGACCTCACCTAAATAGGCAGCGGTTTGTGGTAAAAGAGCTGCCATAAAAATAACTTTGGAGAACGAGACTCTGCTCTTTGGCTTCAGGAATCAGGGCTTCCTAACGTGGCTGAAAACCTCATCGTTGCCATGGTTACCACAGCGGATGCATCAAAGGTGCTCACGGAGAGGTCATCCTCCCTGCCCTCTCTTGTACGTCGTTCTCTCACTCGCTTTGATTGCCCCACCGCTGTCGATCCTCAGACAGGCTTGTGACACTTTCCTACCAAGACCACATTTCCCACCAAGACCACATTTTGGCCAGATGGCCCATAGGGAGGGCAACCATACGTGCTCCTCACCCTTGTGGAGACCCTTGTCTGCCCTAGGTTGGACACGGAAAGGGATCAACGCTCTCGAGTGATTGGGGCCAGGCAGAAAAGCACGTTAGAGTTTCACAGGGGCTTGGAGGCTGGCTGGGGCGTTTCTGCAGCCCTGGGCTTGAGAGCGTGATGGGACGGAGGTGAAGGAGGAGTGTTGGGCGCAGTAGGTGAGGAGGGGGCTCAGGAACAAGCCGAGCTAGAAAATACTGAAACATGAATGGCTCAGCACTACAGCTAGCAGGAGAAAAAGTCCTTCACAACCTCCTGATTACAAATATTTTCATTTCAGATTTTCCTCCGAGCAGCTGAGCTGCCCAGAGGAGTTTTCACACCTCTGCAAGCGACAGCAGCACCTTTTCTGTTGGCACCATTGGGGAAGAGGCAAAGTGTTTCTTTGTAAACTGGGCGGGGGGGGACCCTAAGAGCAAGGCTGCATTATACACGCTGGCAAGACAGGGAGAGGATCTGGGATGTTACTTGTTGGTTCTTCCCCATTTCGTTCATCATTTTCTTTGCAGAACCTACCAAGCAAACATACCTTGGGAATGAGTAGTTTATTAGTTCCTCATTAAAAGTACTTTAACGCAGACAGATGGATGCAAAGCAGCCTGAGAAGACAGTACAGAGGAGGCCTGGACCTCACAAAACCCATTCATTGGCCACAGGGATGGGTCAATAGAGCAAGAATAATTACGATGCTGAACAGAGGGATCCACCTTTTAGGCTAAGGCACGATAAACCTCAGATTCATGATTTTTGCATGTCTGGTATCTGTTATTTTAAGAATAAAGACAGGTGACACTGAGTCGATCTGGGATGCAGGTAACTTGAAATTAAAACACATGACATCTGTCTGAAAGAATTCGTTCAGGAGCTACAGAAAGTCACAAAAGCAGAAAAGAATGGGAAATGAGAAGATTCGCATTTTGTTTACAGTGCCCATGTCTGAGAACGTTGAATATTTACAAATAACTCTTCTTTTTCTCCTGTCCTGCGTAGCTTCTCTGTAAGAAGTACTGTAAACAGGTCTCTAAAGGAGTCACGAAGGCAGAAAGGACATCTTGCTTTCATCATGTTCAAACGACATTTCCATCTACCGCCTCTTGAAAATAACCCTCAAAACAATTTTTCAACTGAAAATTGGGCTTTTCCATTTTAGATGTTATTCTGTAAGAAGGGTCTGCTTTATGAAGGAAATTCAGATTGATGTTTTTTTTGATCAAGAGGATTAAACCACTGAGAGCATCTGCTGTGGTTTGGCGGAGGGGGGCGGCTTGCAGAGGGCGGGGAGGGCTCCGCTCGCAGCGCTGCCTGCGTTGGGCACCTCGCCCGTGGGGAGGGAGAGGACGGGATCTACCGATGCCAGCTCCCAGCGGGCATTTCCAAACGGAACAGGCTGATTTTCTATCTGGCTTTTCACTGGAAAGTCAACGTATTTTGCATGGGAAAAACGCAAATTTTTGTTTTAGCCACGAACGCGGGGGCAGCAGCCCCTCGGTGCTCTCAGAGGCACCAATTCGGGCACATGTAATGGGCGTATTCATCCATATTCAGTTTTACATCCCCAAATTCTCTTCCTTTCTTGGGTGTACATCCCATCAGGCTTACAAGACACCCATCAATTCGGCTGAGTTTGATTTTCTCCCCCTATTACCACAATTAACTATTTCTGACAGTACCGACACGCAGTAGGCTGGGGGAGGACACCGGCTTTAATTCCGCGCTTTACTTTGAGAAAGTCAGACAAACAAACTGCTCTGTGATGAGACTTCAGGAGTCTTCCCCCTGCTCCGTTCGGTTTTCTGTGCCTCTGCACGACCTGTCTTTCTGTCCGGGGGGGGCACTCACATCTGTATTTCTCTCTCACATCTGCATTTCTCTCTCACATCTGCATTTTTCTCACTGGTGAGACAGGTTGCCTTTCAAGCGAAACCGAATTTCCATATGTTTTGTAAGTGACACTCCTCATTACATCTTTCCTCATTTATATTCCCTGTTTCTCTCTGCATTTTAGAAAGCAGAGAAACCTAAGATGATCTCTAATGCTATTTTAATTTTTCTGTTGTCAGAAAATCTGCTGGTTTTCTTTGCCCTGAAAGTAAACATTTTACAAAACCCCCTCATTTTGCCTAGTGGAAACTGTTTTGCTTAAAGAAACCCAACCAACTACCAAAGCTAACCATAACACATGGGTGCATTTATGGGCAGGGCACCCAAAGCAAAAAAGCCAGGAAAATAATTTGAAGTGAAAACAGATGTAGTGATTAAGAGATATAGACAGAAAGTCATTCTCCTTTAAATATTTTCAGCAAAATATTTTTCTGAACGGCACATCCCTGTATTAACCCAATATACAACTTTTTCTTGCAGCCTTTTTACACCCTACTCCATGTTTGTGGATTAAAAAGTATAACTAAATAATTTATTTGAATAACGCAATTTCACGAGACCAACCAGACACACCTTCTGGTGCTATTTCTCCCTTACTAACACAGATTTTGTTTCAATCTGTCATTACAAACTCCTGCAGAAGAAGGAGGAAACTGTGCTCAAGGACTCCCTTCTGTGCTGGTCATGAAAACAAAATTATTTCCATATTAAATTGTTAGCGTGAAAATAACAAATTTTGATAGTTTTGCCTGAAACCAGGGAAAATATGTGCAGAGGCTGTGGAAAGACTCTTTTTCATGGCTGTCTCGGCTCTGACTGAATCTGCTTCAGCCAGGTAAGTGTAGAGATAAAAGATGCTGCTGTGCCATCAGCACTCACCCCCACGTTTCCAAAGCAGCTGGACAAATTCACGGAGGAAAAATCCCCTGAGAGCATTAAAGGCAAAGGCACCAGCAGGTGCCACCAGCAGGGACCTGAGCCACAAGCTGCTGGCATCTGAAAAAGCAGCGCTTTGTGCTCGCTGGGCTGTTGTGCTCCTACCTTGGCCAACAGCGGGTGTGCCTGTCTGAGACTGGGTACCTCTGGTCTGATCCAGCGTAACCATCTGCAGAGTTCAAAGGATTTTCAACTACTGTGGCCACTGGTTAGCTCTGGGCAAACTTTCCAGAGAAGCTAGAAACTTTCTCACCTTAACCTTGCCTTTGCCCTTTAGACTTCTGCTTCCAAAAGGTCTGGGTTTTAATTTTCGCACAGGACACCGAACCGTTACGGGACAGGGCTTCTTGTCCCCGAGAAGTGCAGTTGCCGCAGTCCTAGCATGGATCGAGTCTCTGGGGTTTTGATGGAGTGCTCCTCCAGCACAGAACGATACCCCTTCTGATGCTCTTTTCCTGACACACCGGTCTTCAATCCCCCACAACGTCTGTAACCCTGAAGAGATGAGCTGGCAGCACCAACGCGACCCCAATCCACGGGGATGATGTTTCACATCACCCGCACCCTCACCGCCGGCCAGAGCACTGCGGGTTGCGGCACGTGCCTGGGGCTGGGGAGGAGCGAAACGGAGACGGGGACCGACCCGCTGCGTGAAACGTCTATCAAAGTCCCAAATGCTTATCTGAATTACCGTTAGATAATTTGGATTCTTGCCTAAAATATCTGTGTTCTGCTTTCAAAAAAAAGAAGGCATGATTTTTTTGCCTGCCCAAGTCTCTTAAATATTTTTTTTTCAGTGTGGGGATGCAGGCAGGGGAATTAAGACCAAGCAGTAACAAATTGCTCTGAATGAGAAGAGGAATAAATCTACCAAAAAAGCAAATTATATCAGATTAGGAAAGGGTTAAAAAAAAAGTCTAAACTTCTTCAGGCTGCTAAATATTAAGTTCAATTTCTGCTTTCCCCAGCAGCCTTCTACCCCGGCCCCAGGGTAAGGGTACCCACTGCCACGCGTGGGGCTCTCCCTTAGCAACTCTGCGTGCCTCGACTCGATTTCCCCAGCGCCTTGCGTCTCCACCGCCACCCACCACACCACCAGCAAGCCCTGGGTTAACAACTCAAACCCCAACTTTCTGGCAAACTCGACCTCATACAATCGTCTCTTTCTGGTCCAGCGTGACAGCGAACCAAACCACCATTTTTCACACTAGTGTTTTTACCGTATCGCTGCTGCCGGTTAATAAACACACCTCCTGGGTGTTTCTCCTGGCCATTGCCAGAGACAACCCGAACAGCCACAACCTGCCGCCGCCTTTGGATAGAGGCTCCCGACTGATGCTAGCAGGAATTAGAGCTGGCTTTTCAAAAGTCAAGCATCTCAAAACAAAACAAAACAACAAAAAAACCCATCCCCTGCCAAAGAAATCCCAAAGCTATTTAAAATGAGACTTGCATTTTGTTTTGCCTTCAGGACAAAGCGCTTGCCCTGTGTGAGGGTTTCTGAGGCTTCTCCCTTCAGACGACCCCATCGGAGAGGCAGCTGATGAAGGCGGCCCCATTCTCGCATCTGATAGACCTTGGCATGGACGGCTTAATTACCAGCAGATGTCCCTTTTATGGGAGAAATCATTGCTACAAAAAAATCTCCGTCTGACAAGATGCTGGTGGTATTTCCTTGCAGCCGATGCTTACCTCCGTGCTGTGCGTGTATCTCCAGCAGGCAGCTGGGATCAATCCGCAGAAGGCCAGAGCAAAACAGAAAAATCCCTGAGGATAAAGAGGAAAAATACCATCAGTTACAGTATGGGGAGAAAACCCAGCCATTTGAAAACATCGTTGGGACACATTTAATATGCTCGTTTGAGCAAGTTCAGTTAAAGTTAGAGCTAAACATCCCCTTCTTTTAATATGCCTCACAATGCTGGTTACTTAGAAAAAATTAGATGGATAATAATGTGATCCTGTGTCAGGAGCCCTCTAATTACACTGTGGCTGTTTGAAGGGGTTGACCAAAAGAGCACCCGGCTTCCTGCGGAGCGGTTAACCTATTCTGCCCAAATTCTCCTTGGGGGGAAAAAAAAAAAAGAAAGGAGAGAAAACCATTATATTTAGAGTGTGCTCCTCTTCTGCAGCAGGACCGTGCCCTGGAGTAGCACCTCCTTACTCACGGGATTAAACCCCCCATATTTAAAACTCAGCTATCGGTTTCAAAGAGGGGAAAACGCACACGAATAGTCCATAAAGAAGCGAGTAACCAAGATGGAGAGCAACCTGCCCTGGAAAAGGAGCTGCACTTTACCCTGTTAGCAAGGTGCCAGCTACGCGGCCAAGCCGCCTTCCTTAAATCAGCACCATCCTAGTTAGACAAACGGACGACAGAAATATAATCAAGGCCAGCAACTGACCCTGAAGTGTCTGAACAATAACGGCAATGACGCAGGAGGCGGCTTGACTTTTGTCTTCTTCCCTGGGCTTCCAGAGCTGCAAGTTAGACGCGTTGTCTTTTTATTTGAACAAATCTGATCCAAAAAAAAAAACCCCTGATGTAAACAGCGCTTGCCTGTTGTGACAGCTGGACCAAAGGATCTTGTTCACATTAAAAAAAAAAAAAAAGAAAAAAAGGAAGAATAAAAGTGCCTGTAAAGCATTTGAAGGCCAAATAGGTTCATCAAATATGAATCCACAGCTTAGTCTTGGAATGGCAAAAGATGATGAATAAGCACCAGTCAAAAATTATTGCCCTTACAAGTTTTTCCGTGAAACTGTCCCTCTTCCAACACGAAGTTATGTAGCAGGGGAACATTACCCAACTGACTGCAGCTTATTTTGGTTTCTGATTTTTTTCTATGAGTGTTTTAATAGTATGATATAGCTGAAATCACTTAAAAAAGATTAAATCTTCCATGCAAGTTTATCAAATTCAAGCTTAAGGCGAGGAAGAAAAGCGTTGCTGCTACCAATTCTGCTTCACCAAAAAACTTTTGCTTAAAAAGTATGGGTTTAAAAAAAAAAAAGCCCCAAACTCTTCCATAGGCAGCAAGAAAGGAAAATGTGTTACTTTAAATCCTGGAAATGAACATGCCATTAATAAACTGCCTTTTGCTGGTTCTTGCCCATCTGCTGCCTGCTGTGTTCCTCTGCTCCAGGAACTAGACTGCCGTTGGCATTTCCCCACTCTTTCAGGGCTGCCTTGTTTCAGACTCTGCATCAGACGCTGGGGAAAACCCTGGTACGGCTCTTACAAAAAACCTTAAATTATGTATGTCCAACCTCTCCTTTTCTTTTATTTTTTTGGCAGCTGCCTGGTCGTATAGGTGGTGAGATCACTTGCTGCCTTGCCAGGAGCTGAAATGGGATAACGGGAGAAATGGGAGCCTAAAGGAGAGGAAAGTCTGATCAAACGCTGACGTGAGAAGGGGGATACAAATAGCAAAGACAGGGAAGAGCACGCAGGGCGAGATGCCAAGGACCAACGCACGGCACAAATGGGAGGAGGAAGGAGGTGAGGTTACACGGGCATTTCAGGTTGCTCCTCACTAGGACCAGACCCTGCATTTTGCACCTCCTCCAACAACTTCCCCCCCAAACAAACAGCATATCAAAGTCAACGTCTTCACCAAAATCAACCTCCAAGGCAAGAAAAAAAAGAGAAAATTATGGCAGATGAAAAAAACAGCACTGACAGCAATGTGAAAGCTCTTCCGCGCATCGTTCCAGTAAGGGTCTAATCCAGAGGATTAATCTGGAGAGTGAGAACCACGGCGTGCCAGTGGCACCACCCGGATTTCTCCCTCCGTGCTCTCCCTTCCTTCCCCCACCAGCTCCAGCACTTACGACATCTCTCTAGGGCCAGAAACCCCAGCAGATTAAAATCCTCCTTCTCATCTTCCCTTCCTCAGCTCCACCCCACCTCTCAGTCCTTCACCTCCAGCATTGGCTCTCCCTTTATTTCTGTCTAGCTTCTCTGGGAATACCGAGACGCAGCCCCTCGGGAAGCTCCCCCTCCATCCAGCCGGTGCGGAGCAATTACATGGCTCCAAGAACATCTTATAAATGAGTTATAGGCTGCTTTTTCCCTTCCCAGCCAAAAGGCTTTTGGAAGAGCAACTTTCTAATTACATTAGAAGACATTCGGAGGAAAAAAGAAGGCAACGCGTAGTGTGCATACAAAATGTGGAAGGGTCGAGGCTGGTTCACCATCGCCCAGCCCCTTGGAGCTCCTCGGAGCCGGCCGCGGGCTGCTGCCTGCTCCCTTTGCAGGAGCCACATCAGCCCTGCGGAGGGCTGTCACCGGCCAGACATCAATTACTCTTTTATGAATGACCTTGTTTCCATCTTTGCTGCAAGGAACAATTTGTCTTCGAGAAACTCGGCAGAATCCGCAGAAACAGCGTCTTGTCTGTTGGCTGGTGTATCTTTTAATTCACCTTTCTGATGCTTCCCCTTTGGTTAAGGGGCTCCACTTTGGGCGAGGGAGGGATCCTTTAGCTCAGACTGGGTTCGGTAGCCCTGCCAAACCTCCGCACCCCCAGGGAAGGAGCCGACCTGTGCCCTGCTCAGCTCCAGCTGCGTTTCGGTGCTGCCGTGACCACCGCAAGGGCCAGCTCCCTGCCAGGCTTCACAGCCCGGGGGCGGGGAAGGGGGGAGCTAATTTCAGATTGCATCCCTCTGGTTGCATCCCTCCCTCCCTGACCCAGTTCATCTAAAAGCACAGGATGTTTTTTGCCTTTCCACATAGCCGGTGATTTCAGTCCAAAGGAGGAATCCATCCTCGGCTCCAACGGAGCGCATGGGCTCTGCCTGCGCCGGCTCCCCGGGGACCACCGGCCCGTGGATGCCTCGCTCAGGAGTGCTGCACCACGAGGGAGAGCACGGGAGACAGATGCATTGCGAAAGCAAGATGCTGAACTGCGCTGCGGTGTTATTAAGGACCCTCTGCACGCTTGCCTACAATGATCCACCTGGGAACAGTAAAGCAAACAGCCTGTGCTGTGTGCTGGCCCTACTAGCACATCACTCTCAGTGAAAAACTGGGTTATATCGGGCATTCACTAAGGCTTTTTTACCACAGAAATCGTTTGGAACCGGTGCTTGGAACAGCTGCTCCAACCTGAACACAAATTTTGCTCTACACAAGTGTTTTTTTTAGGCTGGAAAGTTCAGGTGTAAGAATTTCAGCTGGGATATTCTGGTCGGCACGTTGCTCCCTGCTTTTTTTTTTCTCCTCTCTCTCCATCCGACCAGATAACAGCACACGGTGCCTTAAACCCCACCGGAGCCAGAGTCTTTCCTTTGTACAAGGAGTACTAGCAAAACTGCAGTTTTCCTTCCTTCTCCTCCCCTTCAATAGCGCCGTGGCCTTCGGGGGCCGTGAGAGCTGCAGGATGTTTACGTTCAGGACTGGCTGCATGATGGACCACGGATCACCAAAAAGCAGGGTTTGCCAGAACTATAGCTGGAGGACAGTCAATAAACCTGTCACTACTCGCCCTGTTTAAGAGGAGCTTTGGGGATAATAGTCCAGGATTTTAGAACAAATTTTTTTATCCTTAAGTTCTCAGTTACTCTCTAGAAACCAGCTTCCTCGCAAGCGCCAGTGGATGCACAGCGGCGTCTGTCAGGTCTGGTGATGCTGCTAATGCAGCTATAGGACGAGCTCCTGAGATGCGTGTGCTTTAACCAATTTGACCTGTTCTGGTTTCTAACCACTCTGCACCCATTATCGTCATTAGGACAGCACCAGTAAGGCCTGCAGAGAGCGAGGCCCCTCCTGTGTATACACACAAACCTCCAGATAGCCAGGCAGGGTGAGCGCTTCTAATTTAAATAGACCAAAAAAAAAAAAAGTCAGCAGGGAAACCGAGGCACAAGAAGGAGATGGGATCCACCCAACAGGTCAATGACCAGGGTAACGCTCCTCTAAGCCCATCTGCATCCTGGCTAACATTTCCCCAGGGTAGCTGGTTTACCAAGCCCATTGTGGTGGATTAGCCACATCGATGCAGACATCCCCCAGCACGGCTCGGTTTCCTATACAGCCACAGATGTCAGGCACCAATACTCTGGTGTCTTCCCTCTTTGATTAAAGAGTGAATTAAATGGTCTTCTAAACAAGACACATGCATTGCAGGGGAGGAAAAGTCCTTTAAAATCAATAGCGGGGGAAGGTGAAAAATCGTCTCTATGAAAAGCTACAAGCGGGGGGGCTGATCACTTCTGCGAGCTGCAGCCCAGCGCGGATCAGCAGGGCAGGATGCGACGCCGACAACGAGTTTCAGAGCCCCACAGGGCTGAACCCCACTCCTGCCTGCGACTACATCTCACCGCAGCCATCAGGGGCTGGCTCTCCCTGCCTGCGTTCCTTGCTTGCAGATCAGAGATTAAACGTGAGCTTTGGGAGGGGGTAGGAACTGGTGGGAAAACAAGCAGCGGGCTGGCCCTTGCTGTAAGATACTGACAGGTAGAACGGGGGGGGCAATTTGTAGGAATAAGCAAAGCTCCCCTACGTGAGCGTCCTGGCCTATATCAGAACTAGTGTGGCCAGCAGGAGTAGGGAGGTGATCGTGCCCCTGTACTCGGCCCTGGTGAGGCCGCACCGCGAATCCGGTGTTCAGTTTTGGGTCCCTCACGACAAGAAGGACATTGAGGTGCTGGAGCGTGTCCAGAGAAGGGCAACGGAGCTGGTGAAG